GAGTGTTTTGTCCTGATGGCTCCTTCTGACCCATAACAAGTAGAATGCATGGATGCATGGATGCAATGAAAATGCAAGACAGGAATGATTCTTTTATTTATTCCATTTTTTTGTGTAATGCCCTTCCATATGCCCCTACCTCATATGCATGTGATGCAGTTTATGCTCATGTATTTGTTCCTAAACATGCAATTCAATTTTTTTGTTGGGAAATTAACCTGTGCGCATTAAGGTTAATGTTGACGGTGACCCACCGGTTCAACCTTTGACCAACTGACTCAGTACCTTAACTTAAAACAAATAAAGTGTCTCTCGGTCTGTTTGTGTAATTTTCTTTTTAAAAATATTTTTGCAGTAAAAAATTCGTGATGTTTTATCAAACGAAGCCGACGTGGACATTGTAGCATCTCCATGTGTTCTGCTGTCAGAGATTAAATGATATTGCCATTGGCCAGTGTGGAAACTTTACTCTGAAGTATAGCTGTATTTACCTTTTGATTTAATTTATCATTTATTTTTTCATGATTTTAACTTAATGTTAAGAAGAATTTTTTTTTTTAAAAGGCTTATTTTATTTTTGGGTGCATCCATAACAATGTCTTCGGAGGGAACCAGTATGCATCAACCTTGATAAAAGAAAACAATTTTCAGGCCACGCGTGCTGTTTCTGTGGCTAATGTAGGGTCTCTCGATAAAAAAATAGAGTTGCGTCGGGATTTACTCTTTCATAGATAAATCATGCCTTGCCTGGTCCCATATTAAAAGGCACATATTCATTGTCAAACTAAATTTAAAAAAAGTGGATAGAAATGTCGGTCCACGCGTATTTAATAATGTAGAATTGTTTGTGATTGATTACTTTGTTGTTACTAACAAGAGAGAAATGGCAGATAGTGCTGTTGCCTTTCTGCTACAGAACTTGTCACGGCTTCTTGAGGATGAATTAAAATTGCTCTCTGGCGTGGAGGACAAGATCAATTCCCTCTGCAATGAGCTCAAGTTTATAGACATCTTCCTCAAGAGCTTGTTATATTTATTTATATAATTATTCTCTATTTTTATTATTATTATTATGGATTAACATTAATTAATAAATTATATTTATATATTAATATCAATTATATTGCATACTATTGTCAATTTATGGATAATGCTTATTGGGCTTTTGATAAATAGTCTGTGATGGGTTGGACTATTAAGTAGCCCGTTGAGAGGTCCCTGGTCTCTACTGGTAAGGATAAAGAACTGATATCCCATTAGTCAGTTCATAAGAAGAAATACATTTTGTCTTCTATTTTTCTTCCGGCTTTGTTTTTATGATGGCAGGAGGAGCTATTTCTTGGAAGAGTGTTAAACAGACTCTTACAGCTACTTCTACCATGGAAGCAGAGTATGTCGCTTGTTATGAGGCTACTTGTCAAGCTGTGTGGCTTAAAAATTTGATTTCTGGCTTTCATGTTGTTGAAAGTATTTCTAGGCCACTTGTGATATATTGCGACAATACTGCTGCTGTGCATTTCTCTCAAAACAATAGAAGTTCTACTCGCTCAAAGCATTTTGATATAAAATTTCTATTTGTTAGAGAGAAAGTTTTGGATTCTCAGACTCGAATTGAGTATATTGCTACAGAAAATATGTTAGCAGATCCAATGACTAAAGGCTTAGCTATTGGAATTTTTCAAAATCATGTAACTCATATGGGTGTGGTTAAGTTTTTTGATGTATTGGATTAGTGGGAGTCTGAAATTTACATTTTATTATTATGGTTTTCATGAGATGTAAATTTATCAATGACGTCGTTTTCATTACATCTCTTTTAGCATATAAAATTGCTTGGACCATTTTTGGGATCACATATTTTATTATGTTTCTCATTATCCATTATTTATGAAATATAAGCATAAGGTATGTATCCCTATCGGAAACTATCTTTGTGATTCATGTTTATATTTCTTATATTGTTAATTGATATATGTGCTTGTGTAGTAATTGGTATATTTAATTTATTGATTAATGTTATCCAAGTGGGAGAATGTTATATTTATTTATATAATTATTCTCTATTTTTATTATTATTATTATGGATTAACATTAATTAATAAATTATATTTATATATTAATATCAATTATATTGCATACTATTGTCAATTTATGGATAATGCTTATTGGGCTTTTGATAAATAGTCTGTGATGGGTTGGACTATTAAGTAGCCCGTTGAGAGGTCCCTGGTCTCTACTGGTAAGGATAAAGAACTGATATCCCATTAGTCAGTTCATAAGAAGAAATACATTTTGTCTTCTATTTTTTCTACCTCCTATCAGGAAGAGAGCAGTCTTCTCTCACGCTGTTCAAGATCGATAAGAATGGATCCCTCGTTAATTCCGGGTACGCAATTCGTTCTAAATTCTACTCGTACATACTATAATATTGTATCTTACGTTATTCATTGTCTGATGATCACTATAATGTATAACAGAGCTCTGAGGGGAAGTGCAACGACAAAGTTGTGAAAGAAGTGGTGAGCCAAATAAGAGATGTGGCCCACAACGCTGAGGATGTGGTTGACACCTACATCACCAATGTCACCAAACACAGAACCAGAAACATGCTGAGCAAGTTATTCCACTTCAAAGAACGATTCATGGTACTTCACAAAGTCAATGCTGAGATAGAGAGGATCAGGAGTCACATTGATGAGATTTACAAGAACAAAGAGAGATATGGCATTGGAGAAGGCGAGTTCCCAAGCGAAGAAGCTGAGTCACTCCGCAAAAGGAGGAGGGATGTGGAGGAAGAAGATGTGGTGGGCTTAGTGCATGACTCCAGCGTTGTGATCAAACAACTCACGGTGAGTGATTCATGTAGTGAAGTTGTTTCCATAATTGGGATGGGTGGGTTGGGGAAAACCACTCTTGCTCGAAAGATCTATAACAAGAGTGAAGTGAAGGAGTTGTTTACTTGTCGTGCATGGGGTTATGTGTCCAATGATTATAGAGCGAGGGAGCTTCTGTTAAGCCTTCTCAAGTGTTTGCTATCCACGTCTGAATATAATGATTTATTCAAGAAAGCAACAGATGAAGTTGGAGATTTGAGTGAGGGAGAGTTAAGGATGAAAGTGGCAGAATGCTTGAAGGGAAAGAAATACTTGGTAGTGCTTGATGACATTTGGAAAACCCAAGTTTGGGATGAGGTAAAAACTGCCTTTCCAGATGACAAAAACGGTAGCATAATACTGATAACAAGTCGTATAAATGAGGTGGCACACTATATAGGAACAACGCCCCCCTACTACCTTCCCTTCCTTAGTAAAGATGAAAGTTGGGAACTCTTCTCTAAGAAGGTGTTTCGTGGCAAACAATGCCCTTCTAATCTACTTCCTCTGGGTAGAACCATTGTCGAAAGCTGTGGGGGTTTACCACTTGCCATAGTTGTTTTGGCAGGACTTGTTGCCAAGAAAGAGAAGTCAGAAAGAGAGTGGAAGAGAATCAAGGAAGTGAGTTGGCATCTTACACAGGACAAGACTGAAGTGATGGATATACTGAAGCTCAGCTACGACAACTTGCCTCAAAGGTTAAAGCCATGCTTTCTGTATTTTGGAATCTATCCTGAAGACTATGAGATCAGTGCAAGGCAATTGATCCAACTATGGACAGCTGAAGGGTTTATACAAACACAAGAAATTGGAATCCCGAGTTCAGTAGAGCTAGAAGACATTGGTGACTACTACTTGGATGAGCTGGTGGATCGCAGCCTTGTGCAAGTGGCAAGCAGAAGGAGTGATGGCGGCGTCAAGACGTGTCGGATTCATGATCTTGTTCGTGACCTTTGCATATTAGAGAGCAAATCCAATAAGTTTTTGGAGGTTTGCACTGAGGTAAATGTTGATACTCTATCCTTGAGAAATCCACGTAGGTTGTCCTTGCAATGCAAAGCACGGTCTAGTATCTGTACAAAAAAATTTAATCAATCGTACACTCGTTCCTTGTTCTTCTTTTCTGAAACTTTGCACACACGGGGTATTCCAAAGAGCATCAAGAATGCTCGTGTGGTTTACTCAAAATCCAAAGGAGCAATGAGTTATTCATTACATAGTACTTTTAATACAATGATCCATCTGAGGTATTTGAGAATAGACACAGGTGTCAGCCACATTCCAGCTTCTATAGGAAACCTTAGGAATTTAGAAACGCTAGATATAAGATACAAAGAGACTGTCTCCAGTGAAATTTGGAAGCTGAAGCGACTGAGACATCTTTATTTGAGAGGGGGTGCAAAGTTACCAGAAGTAGATAGAGAAAAAAAGGTGAATCTTCAAACTCTTTGGTTAAGGGCTTTTGATCGACAAATGGTGACCATGTTGAACAAGGACATGTTTTTCAATGAGATATTTCCCAGGTTGAGAAAAGTAGTTTTGCACTATCCATTTCATCGTCCTTCACATGAACAATTACCGATTGTAAGGTTACCAAGCTTGCACCACCTAAGCAATCTCCATAGCCTAAAAATAATTGACTTTCTAGAACTTCCACAAGATGCAAATGCCTTTCCATCACATCTCACCAAGATAACATGGAAACAAATACATGTCAGCAATGACTTCTCTTTGATGAATACTCTAGGATGGCTTCCCAACCTGCAAATTTTGAAAATGGGAAGGCAATGCTCTCAAGTCTTGTTCGACCTCAATGTTGGCGGAGGAGAGTTCCCTCAGCTTCAAGTATTTCAAATGAGGGGAATGAAAGTCAGAAGGTGGAAATTAGACAAAAGTGCAATGCCATATCTTCAACATCTTCTCATTGAAAGCTGTGAATATTTGAATGATCTTCCCGAAGAACTCTGGAACTTGAATACCTTAAGAGAAGTGCATGCTTTGTGGCCCTCTGAAAGATTGGCGCACATACTCCAAAATGTGAAGTTAAAGAATGCTTGTAAGCTCATAATCTCTCATGCTCCTCCAAGTGGTCAATCGGATCAGATTTCACTGACAGATTCTTTCTCAGTTGATAGTTGAAACAGGCATGTCACTCATACAAGATAGATTTCCATTTTTTTATCTTTATCATTGCCTAATTTGTTTTTCCTTCTTCTCTGATTGCTCTAATAATGTGCTATCAGTTTGACTCATGTTACTTCATTTACATGTGGATTTTAGAAGCCTTTCATTTTGTTGCTTTCATGAAATGATTTTCAATTCCTTTGCTTCCTTTGATTCAGTTCGTGCCTCCTTTACCTAGATTGCAGGATATTTTGGTATTGAGACCTGGATTCATATGGTAATCATTTTGATTGTTTGTTGGATTGGATCATTCACTTAACGACATTTACTTCTGCATTAATTTCCCCCTCCCCTCCTTTACATTCCTAGTGTGTCATATTTTTGTTAATTACTGATTTTGGAGTTACCTCATGTGATTTTTCTTTTCATTTTTCTGATCATGGTTTTTTCTCTAATTCTTCTTCTGATATCATTTCGATCTTTACTTTTAATTTCAGTTTTTATTTTATTTCATTCTTTGTGAGACTTGAGAGCCTTCTCTCTACTTCAAGGAGTTAATGTTCATATTTTTATGAAGATATACAGGTTCTGTAACAACTTGCTTCAATTATGGTTTAACCATTGTTGAAACCTTATCTTTTCTTTGTTTAGTTGTTTTATTATCTGTTACAGTACTTTGATGTCTTTCTCTCTTTCATTTTATCTAATATATTTCTTTGGTTTCCTTCTAGTTTTAGAACAACTTCACTTTTTGAAAATCTATATTCTGGTTTAGTCAAAATATTTTCGTTGTATTATTTAATAAATGATATGACATAGAATTTGTTTCCATATATCAGTCAACATGGCATGTCTATATGGGTATTGATGTATCATCTTCTTTTGATTTCACTCAGGGCAAGAAAAGAGGATCAAGCTTTTGTAAAGGAAGGGTTTTCCTCTTCAGAATGAGCCTGTGGTAGCTCAAGTTTGGCTTCCTAACTCTGATTTCTGTGGCGTTATGTTACGGGATATTTTGTAAATAAGCAATAGGAGAGTATCTCAATTGTAATTAGTCAATGAATAGTTAGAATAACAAACTTCCTCAATTATGAAGCTGTTAGACAGTTATACGAATAAATAGCGGAGGACCCTCTTGGATGGGGCATCAGTATTTTGTAATAACACTCTTGAACCTCCAATTCTCTCTAATAAGATTCGGATGCTTTTCTTCATTGGCCTCCCTAATCTATTTCTGTAATTCTTCGATTCCCATCCTAGAATTACCATAACAAGTGGTATCAGCCTGTAACCTTCCAGCATGCCCAACCATGGCGGATGCTACACGAAATTGAGTTCTTGAACGTGAAATTGAGGATCGCGTGGAAAATCGTATTGGTTCCAAGATTGATGGAAATGGCAACGTCGATGGAGAAAACTCTTCAAGAGTCACTGACGCAGTCATTGACCCTATCGATGACGTAGAAAATACAAGAGCTTCTTCATAACAACAGTTTGACCGCGATTCATTCACCAGCGGGGGGCAACCCAAGTCGAGCCTATTCTTGTGGAACACGTCTTGCTAGAATCGACTTCCCTCGTTGTTCAGGTGAGGACGTTAAACAGTGGTTAATTCAATGTGATACATTTTTTTTCTATTGATAATACTCCTGATGAGTTTAAGGTAAGATTGGCGGTAGTACATTTTGAGGGGAAAGCTCTTCAATGGCATAGTTCTTATGTGAAATCAGTGGGATTGCAAAACTTACCTCCTTGGTCAGAATACACCAGAATTTTGATTGAAAAATTTGGAGAAGTATGTGATGATCCTATGGCGGAATTGATGCAATTAAGACAAAAAGGGTCGATAGTGGAGTATCATGAATCCTTTGATGCTATTGTATCTCGTTTGGATTTGAATGAGGAGCATAGGCTAAGTTGTTTTTTTGGGGGACTTAAACAAGAAGTTCAAATGCTTGTTAGGATGTTTCAGCCAAATTCGGTGAGACGCGCTTTCACATTAGCGAAAATGCAGGAGGCAGCAACTGTAAATGGATCTGTGGTTAAATCTTGGACTAAACAATCTAAATTTGAGGCTTCTTCCAAGCCACCATTATTGCCTACACCCTCTAAGACTACCTCCAAGATTCAAGATACCTTCAAATCAAAACAACAGACCTCTAAAACTTTAACCCCTGCTTATATGAGTGAAAGAAGGGCAAAAGGGTTATGTTATTTTTGTGATGAACCCTTTACTCCCGAGCATGGATTAAGCCATAAAAAACTGAGTTGCATGTGATGGAAGTGGATGAGTTACAAGATAATAAGGAGGAAGAAGTGCTGCTTGAAAACTCCATGGGGCCCAATTCTACAGATCCCCAAATTTCTGTACATGCCCTCACCAGAATTGCCAATTTCCAAACCATGCGTGTGACCGGTTACCACAAAAAGAAGCATCTCCATGTTCTGATTGACAGTGGCAGTACCCACAATTTTTTGGACATTGAGGTAGCTAAAAGGTTGGGTTGCAGGATTGATGCTTTTGATTTCCTGAGTGTGGTTGTTGCCACCACCGAGGCACAGCCCCAACAGTGCTGACAAATTCAAGCATTGTCGATACCATAGAAATTACGGTCACACAACTGAGTAATGTCGAACACTCAAGGATCGCATTGAGGAACTCGTCCAAGGAGGACACCACGGACAGTACGTCAAACGATCACAATCTCATAGGGGAGGCTACCATGGACATGGCTGTGGACGAGGACGAGGTCGGGGCTCCAACGCCCGGACAGACCAACCCTCCGGATCCTAGCAAAACATCGGCGGGGCGGTGCAAGCCAAGGTAAGTCATGACACAGGTAACACTCCCTTACGCAGAGTCATCAATACGATTACAGGTGGCTTCACAAGGGGTGGTTCAAGTAGCTCAACATGCAAAAGACACTTACGCAGTATCAACAATGTCCATGTTGACACCTTAGCCCTGCCATGCAACACACCACCAATTACCTTCACGGACGACTACTACATCGGCATCTGCCCAAACCAAGATGACCCCATGGTCATTGCTGTTGAAGTAGCCAACTGGGAAGTCCACAAGATGTTGATTGACCAAGGAAGCTCAATTGACGTCCTATATTGGCCAATGTTCTTAAGGTTAAACATCCCTCACTTTCTCATCCAACTTCACAGAGAACCCCTAGTCGGTTTTGCAGGTGAACGTGTCCACACTCGGGGATACATAGAGTTGATAACAACCTTTGGGACTCCCCCAACTAAAAAATAATCATGGTCAAATACCTCCTCGTCGATGCCAACACATCGTATAACATCATTATAGGCAGGCCGACGTTGAACCAACTCGAAGCGGTGGTGTCTACCCCGCACTTGACAATGAAATTCCCAAGGGCAGTGGGTAGATAGTCTCCATTAAGGCAAATCAGAGGACAACTCGGCAAAGCTACGCTGAAAGCCTAAAAGCATTAGTAACGGAGCAACACCGAAATGAACCTACCACCGTAGCTCACATAGCTCAGGCTGAAATTACAGACCTGGATCCCAGATCGGAGTCCCGCGACAACTGAACAAGCCCTATCGATGAACTGGCCGATCTCCCAATCGGAAAACTCCCAGGCCAATGCACCAAAATAAGTCAACAACTAAGCCCGGAGCTGCGACAACAACTTGTAGCCGAGATCTCCAAGAACGTCGATCTATTCGCATGGTCCAGCGTCGACATGCCAGGTATAGACCCTAACCTCATCTGTGACAGGTTGGCAATCCACAAAGAGGCCAAACCAGTGGCCCAGAGAAAACGAAAGGTCGGCGGAGAAAGACGATAAGCCATCATAACCTAGACACAAAAGCTAATAAGAGTAGGTTTTATCTGAGAAGTCAAATACACTACGTGGCTGGACAATGTAGTGCTCGTCAAAAAGAACTTGGGGAAGTGGCATATGTGCGTCGACTATACCGACCTGAATAAAGCTTGCCCCAAAGACGCATACCCCCTACCAAGCATTGATAGGTTGTTCGACGGAGCCTTCGGTCACGCCCTCCTTAGCTTCCTGGACGCATACTCAGACTATAATTAGATCATGATGTACCCACCAGACGAGGAAAACACAGCTTTCATCACCGACCAAGCCAACTTTTGCTACCGCGTGATGTCATTCGGCCTCAAGAACGCAAGAGCTACTTATCGAAGGTTGATGGATAAGATTTTTCACCAACAGATCGGGAAAAACATGGAAGTATACGTCGATGACATGATTGTGAAAACCACATCGGCTGAAGCCCACGCTGCTGACCTGGCCGAAGTGTTCAAATAGATACGAAAACACAACATGCGCCTAAACCCTGAGAAGTGAGTCTTCGGGGTCTAGGGAGGTAAGTTCCTCGACTTTATGATCACCAATAGGGGCATTGAAGCCAATCCAGAAAAATGCAGGGCCATCATGCAGATGCACAGCCCCCAAAACATCAAAGATGTCCAACGATTGGCAGACAGGTTAGTCTCCCTCTCTCGTTTCATGCCCAGGTTGGCAAAGAAAGCGGGACCCATCTTAAACCTACTACGGAAGCCTAAACACTTCGAATGGACCGACCAATGTGAATAAGCCTTCAAAAGCTTCCTCGCCACTCTGCCAACCTTGCAAAAACCAAATCACCAAGCCGACCTCCTCCTATACTTGGTCGTGGCCGAGAACGCAATCAGCATGGTCATCGTACAAGAGCTCCACAGGGAGCAAGTCCCCGTGTCCTTCATTAGTTGAGTCCTTCAGGACATAGAATAATGCACCTCGATCTCAGAGTGACGGAAGAACCTGGAGGAGGAGACGCAGCAGTGAGAGGAGCCGATGTTGGCACCTCAAAACTTGGACCTTCCCTGCGAACCTCAGCAAAGGAAGGCATCGAAACCACCTACAAGAAAATCAAAGCAAGTTTCTAAGTCACAAAATAGGAATAACACACCAAACAAAAAGAACACCATCAAGATAGAGTAAAATCTTGTCTCTCCAGAATAGCCTCTA